TTTCTAAAGTTTATTATATTGTATTTTTATCTACATTATCAACCTCGAGTTTGGTAAGGGGTTATAGTACAAAGTGAAAGCAACACGTTAACTTCTTAAATGTAAAGTGCACATCTAAATCGCCTAAATAGGAATCATTCTAGTGGGTAAACAGTCATCTCTCACACATCACAAAGCAGCCTATAAAAAGGTTTTGGAACAAACTCTAATAAAGACAATTCAAAGAAAAGCAATATATGATTGAACTGAAAAAATAATGAAATTCCACATTCTTACTGAATTCCACTAACCTACTTAAATAAAAGTTCTTGCTGTCCAACCTCCTTGAAAGTAGTGTGCTTTATTTTGCTGTTAAAATAGACAAATTCTAAATAGTAAAACGCTAGTATCCCTTCTTCCCTTTCTCCTTCAAGCCTCTAGTTTATCAGCATTGTAGAGAAAAAAAGCCAGCCCCCTACCCATACAAGTCTATTTTGTTGAGGTTTGAATATAGTTTTAAAAATAAAATCCATTTTGCCATTTAGAATTTAGGTAGGAGTTTGGTACTCTGGTAGTTGAGAATATGTACTGCACCTCTAAGGGACCTTTCTTAGCCTCTCTGAAGGTCCTGAAGTTTTTGGCCTTACGAGGGGTGACATGGATTTGTCCACATCTCTCTTTAGTGCATTAGCCTGTCACACAGGGTTTGTGCTTACAAGCAGACCTCTTGTGTGGCTGTGCTAAGGACCTGCACTCAACAGAGCCCAGCTTCAGTGGCAGTGAGGCGAGCTAGCTGTCTACTTCAGCCTAATGAATGGGCTCTTTTCTTGATGTAGGAGAAGCCCTGCTGGGGGCATCTGCATCAAGCATTATCTCCTTGATGATTACTTTCTGGGCACTCCACTGCCTCTTTCACAGGACGGTAGCATTAATACTGCGGAGTACCTTTCAATTTTTGCATCTTCTTGATGTTAGTCCCTGCTACTTCATTGTCAGTTACAAAAGAATAATCTCCCACGCTAAGATGATGATAGTAGCTATTGATTCTGGTTCTGCACAGAGGGCTGGCATGCCTGCTGGCATTTTTTGACTTTTCCCCCAGTCAGTGGTGAATAGCAGGCATTTGTGCCTTAGGTTTCTCATAATCTGAAATTACAGTTCTCCCTTTCTTTACCATGTCGCTTTACACTCAGTCATTTAGGCATAATCTGAATGAAATATAAATTTTAAGTTCTCCTTTCTTTTGAAAAACACATTATTTAGCGGACTGCAGAGGCTTCTGTTACCTTGGCAAATGTTATGGCTCAAGTAAAAAGACACAAACCCATCAGCTCAGGAGAGATCTTGGTTCCATTACATCAAAACAGAAAATGTTCACTCACCTGAGGGCAGCAGAATGACACGACAAATGTTATTTGTGTTTGAAAACATCATCATGCAACCATTTTTTGCTTTTGCCTGCCATTATTAATGGATTGCTAAATAAAAAAGGGCTCCATCAACACAGTAGAGTTTTTATGATGATGTTTTAAACATATTTGATTATCTTTATTTTCAATGTGCTCTGTTAGAAGACTGAACATTATATGTACATTTCCAGTATAGAACCGAACTTCCCAATGTAAAAGAAATGTAACGACATAGAGGAAGGGATATATTTTCCCTTGACCAGACCTGAGACCTTCTCCTTCTCTCTCACCACAGTGCATGGCTGAAGAGATGCATCCTGAGAGGCAACATTAGGTCGAGTCATTAAAAGTACAGATCTCATATTAAATATAACATATAGGTAACAATTCATTACAGAGATCAGAAAATAATTATAATGTAGATTTATGCTTTTTATTTTATATATGCTATATGCTGTGAATCTTCATTAGATTAGCATACTCAGGTCAAAGAGCAATGTGGCACAAGGGTTCTTCCCCCTTTCTGAGGTAATAGGTTCATATATGAATGAAGGATCTTGTCCTTCTTGCTTCACAATTTATATTGACTCCCTGTTACATTTTGCCAGTGTTATAATCCAATCTCTCATTTATCACTTCTACTATCAAGATTTCCTGTCTCATTTGTCCATTTGAAAGCATAGAACTTTTCTGTCTTGAAGAGTGAAGAAAGAAATTAGGGCTAAATTTGTTTAGCTCTTCATTACTCAGATTTTTTAATGTTTTCAAAACAAGGTAGTACTACATGAGGAGAGCAACAGACCATTGAATGATTGAGAAAGAGGCAATGTGAACTAGGTCCTCAAGTGTTATAAACTACAACAACTAGGAGTTCTTCTGACCTGTCCAGCATTTCTTTATGTACTTACCCCTTCAATTAAATTCTTTACTGAATGCCAGTCACCTGTTTTAGAAGGAAAGAAAGATGAGCTTGAAAGATAATGTATTTTTTCATAATTGCTTCTTGATTATGGATCCAGTACTTCAAATAGTGTTGACTTCACTGACAGCAGAAGCACATTAACATCTCTTTTCATATGACGCAGCTAATGATTAACTTTGAGAGATGAATATGACCCAGCTGAAATGTCAGCCATTAGTTCATGATACCCCCGTACACAGATGAGCAGCTTCATAAGTGAATGGGATTTTTGGGAACATACACATAAATAAATAAAACAGATACAGCCTCAGCAATCAGTAATTTTTTTTTAAGTTAATTGAATTAATTTCAGATCATAAATGAAGCAAAACTATAAAAATAAATCTGTTTTAAAATAAAGAAGGATTATAAACCTTCTCTCTGACACAGCTGAACAAATCTGAGAGCTATTATTTTAGAATCTCCCTAACTAATCCTTGGAGGAAAACAACAACAAACCCAACCAAACCTAAGGTTGCGATGTTATAATCCTCAGTGCAGAGTTACATTGCTTCTGTTACTTCGTATGCCCCATGCCTTTGGCAATGCACCAGATGCTTGTTTCCAGCTGATTTTACTTTTGTATACACATTCTGAGCAAAAACAAATGAAAAATTCAACGCATGTTCAAAATAAAAATATTTTGCAATGAGAAACAGCCATAGCTATTGGACTTAAAGTATCTAGTGCTTCTAAATGTCCGATTTCCATATCTTAGCACATTTTTGTTTTTCAATAGACAAGATTGGCAGAAGTGAACACTCTTCCTTACAAGCTATGCCATAAATGTCATCTGTCGTGTTACAATTCAAAGAAGCAACTAATATGACTTATTTAATCCTAAACAAGGAAAATCTAAGAGTTTTAATAGTTGCTCTCCTATTTATTAAAATGAAATGCAATAAATGTAAAAGACCATCCAGATTAGTCTTCATGTTTTAGAGGAGCTGCATTTTTTTCCAAAGTTGTGAAGTGCTTCTTAACCAGTATCTAAGTCATATCAATATGCTTCAAAGAATAGGACAGAAAACATGGTATAATAATAAATTAAACATCCTATATTTATGTAACATGTATGAGATAAATGTGCATAAACACAGATATACTCAACCTCTAAATGTTTCAGTGAAGCAGTTGAATATTTGCTTTTAGTTTTGGTCCAAGATCTCTTTGCATTGAATCAAACTGAAGCATTGCAAAGTTTTGGTGTAGTTTGTCTATCTCACAGACTGTATGAGTTTTATCAATTGAGGAAGAAATCCATCAAAAATATACAAAGGATTAAAAATTACTACGTTTCAGTTATCAAAGTGTAGGTAATTAAAAGAAAAAAAATCCCTTGCAGGAATCAATACTTTAAAAATTTTAATGTATTTCCCAAGTGATGTGCTGACTATTAGGCTGTAGGTACCTTGTGCTAAGATGATTTTAACATAAACCTTCCAGCGGAACAGTAATACGAAATACATTAAATAAATTATATAACTTAAGTGTGTCAAATGTGCTCATTGCTAAACCACAGGTACTGTCATTAAGATAAGAACAAGTCCTTACATCTGTAATATTAAATAAGTAATTTGTCATTATCTTGTAAAATTGAAATAAAGTTTACAAATACTAATCTATTCTGTAGTACTGTGGGATTTACCTAGGGTATTCTGGGTCCATTTTTTTTAAATTAAAAGTACATCAGAATTAAAAAAAAAAAATGAAGGAACATCAAAGAGTACTGTACAGTTATACCACTATGTAACAGTATGTATAAATACTTGGCAGTAAAGCTTCAGTAGAGAGTGATTTAAAATGAAAAAGTTGTTAATATTTAGTTTGACATAGAAAGTTTGCCATAGCAGATGTATCTTCTCTGGCTGTCATCCTTCCATTCCACCGTGACTGGGCTTTGTAGTCCAAGCAGGATGTTTTTTTCACCCCGCTCAGTGCTTTTAACTCTTCCAATCATTCCTCCGATGTGCTTTTCTAACAGAAAGCCTCCTGTTGAACATGGCAGCCAGATCTGTATGTACTGATGCAAACCTTGATCTTGTTATTGGTGAATGTCCTCGTGCCTGATGATTTTGTAAATTACCCAATAAAAAATATTGAAAATCAGAAAGGCTAACGGGAAACAAGCTCTGGATATTGTGTCTATCTTCTTGGCCCGGTCAATGAACACCTTTCTCATCTCATCAGGGCTTTTTGGTGCAGCTTGAACAGGATTATTTGGCCCCTTTTGTGTCACTCCATCTTTTGCTTGCAGACATGGACCCATTCCATATGCTGTAAAACTAAACTGACTTTCCCTGACATCATCATCCTGTTTAAAAAAAAAAAAAATAAAGGCAAGAAGTTTTTTTTATTTACAGAAATCTTACCAGCTGCTAAATAGCAAGTATTGCACCATTAGCTCAGTGACTTCTTGAATCCAGAGTTTATCTCAACTGGTTGAAATTTGAACCCTATCAGTGTTGGTCAGAAATATTGCAGCAGCTTTAACAAGCACAGAATTTTCCTGTTTGTTTACAGATTCTCTAATCTATTTAGAGAAAAGAGAAAGCTTAGTAAATAGTGGTAATCAGGCACACAACTTCTGGGTTTTTTTTATTTTTCCCCATTTGCAGTAAATATCTGCAGTCTTCAGCTGAGCGAGCTTCACACTGGTCTTTTAGACAATAGGCATTAACATTGCTTAACAAGATGGGATCCTGGCTTCTAGAGATGCACATCACTAATGATGTTCATGTTAATTAAATCAATGAGAATTCTGCCTATTTAGTAATTGTATATTTAGTTAATCTTATCTGTATGGCTTATTTCTGCTGTTCCCTGTTGAAATCATGAGATAAAGGAAGTAGTATGTAAAGTGTCTTAGTTTAAAATAAAGTGAATGAATTCTGTCAATTCAGAGGAAAACTGGCAAAGACGTTATAAATTCAGGGAGGTATAAGGGAGCAAGTTTTAGTCATGTGGCACAGATGCAAAAGTAGATGGTCTGAAGCTATACATATTTTCATAGCATGCGTTTCAAGGATATGGCTTCTGCCAGGAGACACGTTTTGTACTTCTCTTTACCTGGTTATAGATATGCTCAGGTAATAAGGGAAATAAAAATACAGGCAAATAAATGATACATAGACTGTGAAGGCAGGGCTAAAATAGGTTTTGAAATACATTCCAGTGTATTCATTCCTTCCTTCCCTATATATGCTACTCAGGGGTAATAATGATGTGATTTTGGTGTCATGCACTATTTTTAATACTGATTTTTAAATTTAGGATTTTCTATTTTTCATGCCTAATTTAGCCTAGTTGCTTTAGGATTCTAGACTTTTATGGAGTATGACAAAGTATGATGTGTAAGCAACTTCTTAAGGAAGTATGTAGGAAAATAATTTCCATAAGTATTAAAAAAAAAAAAGGATTGGCAGCAATTTTCCTTTCATAAGAGAAATTTTGATATTTTGAAGTTCTTCTTAAATTAAAATGAAAATGTAAAAAAATTAATTTACCAAAGCAAGTCAAATAACGAGTGTTTCAGTTCAGTAATTCTGAAGTATTTTTGTTTTACTTAAACCTCTTACATTATACAAGTGTAATTTCTTAATGAACAGAGTTTAAATCCAAACCTTCAAATTTTTAATTTTGAAAAAGCCTGTGACATTTGGAAAATCTGAAAGTGTTTTGGACTGGAGAATGAATTCTAAACATATTTAAAGTTTTGATTAAATAGTACTTGCTAGAAGAAAGTTAATGACTTTGTTTTAAAAAAAGTCCTGTTATGTTTACAATCAATATCAGTTGAATACATTATCTACAAGAGAATGCAGATCAGTTACTAAGTTTGAAGTGAACTGGTTGGCAATCAGCATGAGCATCCAGTAGAACTGTAGTTATCACCCATCTGCAAAGCTTTTTCATATCTGTATATTGAATAAACTTATAGGCTGATACAGTTCACTGAAACTGATATAATTCAAATTAGTATTACAATTCTCCCATTAAAAAAAAAAAAGAAAGAAAATATAACATGAAAGAAAAGGAGGAGGGAAATGCACTGACTGGTTTCAGTATGGAAATGAATAACAGAAATACAAAATGATAGGTTCATTATTTGATGACGTGAAGAAACAAAGAACTAATTGCTACAATAACATTCCTCTCCTGTCAGGAAAGAATGGGAAACAAGCTCTTAATAGTATCTGTATTCCAGAAGAGTTGCAGTGTTGTATTCCCATGAACAGAAGTTACAAATATGTCGGCTGTGAGAATTTACACTAAACTTGACATTTGAATGCCTTCATACATACAATTCAGTCTTTAAACCTTTTCATGCTTCTCCAGAAAACAATTCTTACAATTGCACTGGCTCAAAGATGTAATAAAATAATTCTTTTGAGTAGCAGTGTTAAATTGGGTCTGGTTTCAAGGTAGGGCACTATGTACTAAGATATTACTGTTTCTGTTCTGTGCTTACCGGAGTGGAGCGATCCCCTAGGATGGTTTTAAAGACCAGGTGTTGGCCTGTTTTTTTGCTTGCAGACATCCTGAATTTAGTCTGCAAGCAGGGTGCCTGGAAATGGTCCCTGCTGTTGAGCCTGTGAAGTGCATGTCCTTCTAGGAGTCTCGCATTTCTGCCCGGTGTCTGTTGGATGGTGTCTCCGTGAGGGCAGGCAGGATGGTTGGAGCCTGCCACGTCGGACCAAAGTGCTAGGGCTAATGGATACGCAGGAACGGATGCCTCCTGGAGCATTGTAACATGCCAGATGCCACCATACTTTTTTTTTCTGGGGTACCAGCTAGACTACGAGGAACTACAATGTGGTTCTGCAAGTTTCCCAGCAAGTTCATAATGCAGAAAAATAATTAATTTGTCTTCAGGTTCATACCTGGGGGTGCTTGTCCACAGCACAAAAGGTGCAGTTACTCTTACTAATTTTTGAGTGTTTTTTCAAAGTCATTTTTATAAAATGTCAGTAACACCCCATTAGTTTTTATCAATCCACTTGGCTACAGTCCTTCATTTTTACTAGAAATATTTCTCGTGGTACACGTGTCCAAGTCCACAGCTGTTCAAATCACTTAGGGAAAGCACCCTGTAGTCCCAGCTGAGAATCTGGACAGTGAATCTTCCTCAAAAAATACTGAATTTTGGTTGAGATCTTTCTTTTTTTTTTTAAATTTAAAAAGAAAGTTTTTTTTCCCCCCCCCCCCTTTTTGATCATTTGTTTGGTGCATCATGACTCAAGAAAATAAGATGCATGATTTCTTGCTGATTTTTGATAAAGCTTTTAAAGTCTCATTATGAATGAACTAAAGGTTCAATATGAATGTGCTTTTCACATATTTGGTTCTGGAATTAAGAAGCTGAAAGATATTCTGCATAGAACTCCATATAAATATTTTATCATCTCTATTAAAATTACTGTAATTAAAGATAGGAAGTAAATTCAGCTAACAGTTTTTATTTAGAAATTTAGAATTCTTTGGAGGCCTGAAAGAAGTAATTTTAATTAGTTTATTTACATATCAGAGTTGTGCTACAAAATACTTAGCTATAAAGTATTAGAAAGCTGTGAATTTCTGTGGCCCCGAGACTACGCTGTTTTCTGTTCATAAATTTAATAATACAATTCTCTTGAGGAGTAATATTCATAAGAGCTGAAAATATCTAAATAGGCTTTTGACTGTAGGTTGTGGGAATGTCTTGAAGATGTATTTGAAGCCCTGGCTTTGATAATTGAACACTATTTTTTTTTTACTGTTCATTTTTGAGAAGAGTGTTATTGAATTGTTTTGCACTACAAACAGCTCTGTTTTAAATGCTGATCTGGTAGCAACTGATTTCTCCTTGAACTGATGTCCCTTTTCCTTTGAAGTTGCAGGAAGTAAAATTTTAATACTATATTTTAATCCAGATTTAAACAGACCAAAATGCATTACAAAATTAACACGACAGGTACCTTTTATTAACATTTCACGTCATCACATACAGGTAGCAATGAAGGCATATGGAGTTCACATGGGAAGACATTATTTCAGACAAAAGGACAGGGCCTCTGTTAATGATTGGATATCACATCATGACAAATGGGACATCTTCTTCATAGTTTACCCTTAAATTTGTACTGTAGATTTGAGGCAAAGTCCCGTCTATAGGTCCTGAACATCTCAAGCCATTGCTATGCTGCAATGATTCACTGATTTCATTTCCATCAAGAACTCCCTCAAAATACTTTCATCAAAACGGATGGGTTGACCAAAAAGAAAACAAAAGAAAAGAGGTGTGATTACCATCAAAGACAATCTAGTTTGCATGTCTATTTTCCTCACTAAAGATACAGTGATCTTTAGATTTTTGAAAATAGAACTAAAAGATTGACTAGTCCTGAAAACTAAATATATTAAATCTAATCTAAAATCAAAGTGTTATTAGAATATGTACACAGTTAATGTTTTTCCCCATACAGTGTAAATGCAACTACGTAAAAGCACTGGTCACAGGTATGGTTCAGTATCCCTGTATGACTTCTAATTCTGTAATTTTTTTTCCTTTTGTCTTTCAAGACCAAAAGGAGTATAACTGTAAATGAATAATTAATATTAATATTCTCAAGAAATGTTTCCATCACATTAGTAATATAATATTTGTGAAATAGTTGTGTTCATAGGACAGATTTCTTTCTCCAACAAAGCACTCTGGATTATACACTGACTAACAAATGAAGTCTCAAATTGGGAACCAAAATTCCCCTCTTCTCAGGATACATGATGCCATATTAATAATCATAAGGAAATGAGACCCTTTTTGAAAGATCTTCTAAGCCTGTTGTGATGACTCTTGGAAAACAGCAATGAGTAGGTTGCATGTTATGTTGCAACACCATACCAGACACTTCAAAAATCTTTGTTAATTCTGTGCAAATTGGTTTCTGAAAATGAATTTGTCTTTCAGTTATTTGGAATCATTGAGTGAGGTCCATACTTAACAACCATAAAAATGGTAGCCAGAGGGTGCAGTTATACCTAAGAATTGCCTTTCCTGCTGCTGCTACTGTTGTCTGGGAAGGGAGACTGCAAATGTACTAGATGGTGTAAGAAAGAGGCAGTGACTGTAGGTGGAAAAAGCATAAGGAAAATGGCAAAGATAGAGGAGGTCTGGATGCCAAAATGTCTTGATATAGCTCTGTACAGAATTACATTTTATATAACTATAATTTTCCATAAAACTTAGGAGCTCTTATTTTATTTCCACTCATTTACTGCAGGGGATTTGTCTGAGTTCAATCATATGCTTTTTAAGAGAGAGATTTCAGTTCTCTTGAGTTTTAAATCAGCATTGAGAAGGAAAAATGCATAGTTTTGATTAAGTTTACGAAAGCCTTCAACCTGTGAAAAACTTGAAATTTGTTTGAGGATATATTTAGAGTTAAAAAGGAATTCAATTATTTGGAGAAAGAGACTGAAAAATACAGGAGGAGAGTCAGTAGGTGCAAATACAAGTTACTAGATTTAGCCAGGAGTGATCAGCTTCACAAACACAAGATGGAAAGTGAATGTTGCTGCAGTAGTTCTGGAAAAAGACCTGGGAGTTAAGGAAGGTCGTAATCCTGATATGGGTCAAGACCATGCTGTTGATAAAAAGGCAAATACCAAACTGTTTTGGATAAACAAGTGTATAACTTGCATGATGTGATGCTTTGGCTGTTCTCAACTGTTACTGGCTCACCATATTGTTGCAAACACAGTTTTGAGGAATTATATGGACTTAGGAGAATTTCCAGGGAAA